TAGTTTTTTAGTCAAATTATATTTTTTTATTAATTATTTGTATTGTCTTTAGATATATCAAATCGACCAGACCATATCTAAATAACTTTCACATAATTTTTTTATTAAAAAAATATTAATAACATTTAAATATTTTTTTACATTAAAAAATAATTTAACCCTACCATAACGTAGCCACCAATCCATTGCTAAAACTGAAATTTTTAGATTAGGTACGAGTATAGTGAAAAAAGAAGAAGGTAAGATATGGTTAAAACTTTAATAATGGGCCGCTCAAGGGTGGTCCTCAATCCATTCCCAATCCATGATTATCGGAGATCAAACCATAATTATGGGAAACTTTAACGTTGCTCAACACCACAATGATGCACGTAATACTAACAATCATTAGACGTTATTATGAAAGTGATACGTTATTCAAACAAATACCTAAGATGATAAGTATATCATAAGCACATACCACCTATCATTCAAAACCCCATGTCGTTAGGACTTAAGCATACTAGGTTAGATCATGCTTTTTTGTTTAGTCAAATGCTACTTGGACATTGTGCTAGCTAAACTAGGTAATATAAATTAACTTGCGATAATTAATTTTTTTCAATAAATTAAAATGATATCAAATTAAAAATTATTTTTAAAAATTCAATTAATTTTTTAATTAAATATTGATCAAATTAAAGATTGATCTATCAATCTAGTTGAGTCCACTCTATATTAACCTTTTCTTTTCTTTTCACTCCTAATTTAAATGGATTTGATAAAAATATTCAATACAATTGAAAAAAAAGTTAACTACATTAATTATGCATATCAATTTTTTTATTTAAGTATATGTAGTTTTATTTTTTATCAACTAAAAAAAATAAAACAACAAGATAGTAAATAATAAATTACACAAATTGTTTGAAAAACCAAAAAAGAAGAATAAAATACAACTTGTCTAGGAAAAAAAATACCAATTTCATTCAATTTCCTCCACTGCCTCACAATCCAGGTAAAACTACGCATCTAATGTAAAAGATGTTAAATTTAATTATTTTTATAAAATAACAATCTTAAATTCAAATTTGTACCAAGCTTATTCTATAAAAACTCACCCCCATTCAATTGCTTTACCACTTTATCAAGGCCAGCTCTTATGCATAAAGCAAATAAGAATGATTAAATCCAACAAATCCTTTATTATATTCAAATTTACAGGCTATTTTTTTTACTTGCATAACTTTGGTGTTCATATTTTATTGGCTATTTCATATTGTAATAGCTTGTGTTTTTTAAAATTATTTTTTATTTGAATAAGATATTAAATTAATATTTTAAAATATTTTTAATTAAAAAATGTTTTTTTAAATAATTATACATCAAGTCCCCATTATTTTAATATATTTTTAATTAAAAAATGTTTTTTAAAATAATTATACATCAAGTCCCCGAGGACACACACGCATTGAATGCTATAAACAACAGAACGCAGTAAATAGACAAGCATCGGTGGAAAAAGGACAGCGTGACGGTGTGAGGAATAAAGAAGAAGAAGCAAAGGTCGATGGGCTGGAGAGAGAGAGTTCGAGAGTTCGAGAGTGAGTTTAAACTTTAAAGAAAGGAAAGGTTACACTCTAAAGGCTGGAGGCTTCGGGAAAAGCTTATGACTGCTGAAGTGACACGCTCTCTCCGTCTACTGTAAGGAAGTGAAGACTATTTAGATACAACTCCCGAGGAAGTGAGAGTGGTAGCACACTGCGCCCCAACCTCCACTGTTTAAGGAGATCACAGACCAAATCATCACTTTGTCTCTCTCTCGTTCTCTTTCCCCATCTACTGGTATTGGGATTTTAATAATATTAAGAATGGATCCGCCTGCAATGATGAATGAAGGAGGGCCTTACAGTTTGGAGGAGATCTGGCAATTTCCCATTAACGGGAGCGGAAAAGGGCACTTTGATTTACTTAATTTGGGGCAGAGAGCAGCTGCTTCTGTAAGGAAACGTCGTGATGTTGATTTGGATGTTGATGATGATTCTTCTTCAAAACCCACTACCAACGGACTTCTGGTACTTTTATTTCTGATCTAATTTATTTGTTTTTATAATAATGTCCTATTGATCTGTCCGAATCCGTAATGTTTTTTTAGATTTAGGACTTAGCTGTTCCTATTTTTTACCTTTGAACTGAATTGGGAGCATTGTGATGGTAAGCGGCTTAAAACATCAGGGAGTAAAGATGAGAATCATCATCGTCATCTTGATTCTAAAGATGAAGCAGAACCCAGTTCAGGCAAGCATGTGGAACACAAAACTCAGCCACCAGAGCCACCAAAACAAGATTATATCCACGTACGAGAAAGAAGGGGTAAAGCTACTGATAGCCACAGTCTAGCTGAAAGAGTAATTTTCTTTATTTATATGTCCTCCTATACTTGTCCTTTAAAAAAAAATGATGAAAACCCTACAATTTAGCAATAATGAAGATGCCTTATCCAACAACCTATGACTTCTGCTTACGAGAACTTTCTTGTGGACAGGCTAGGAGAGAAAAGATAAGCGAAAGGATGAAAATTCTTCAGGATCTAGTCCCAGGCTGTAACAAGGTATGATACTGGAATTACCTTAAAATTCATATTTATTTAGTCCCAAAATTCTTGCAGTTCTGTTCCATTATTCGTTTAGTTTTGCAGGAAAATATTGTGAAATAAATTTAGTTCAGTTTATCAATGGATATGTTAGGATAGAATAATCGAGGACAGGGATTTAGGTAGCAACAAGCCTAAGTTCATCACTGTAAAAGTTATGGAGTATTTTAAAAGAACACTTTTGAGATTTGTTATAAGTTCCAATACACTAACATTTATTGGAATAAAGTTCGATAAGGCAGATGTTTGGAGCCCGCTTCTGTAAAAGTTATATTATAGAAGAATTGTTTTGAGATTGATCTTGAGTTTCCAGATTATGTATAAATTAGACTAAAGTCGTATGCTTGAATGCAGGTTATTGGCAAGGCCCTGGTCCTTGACGAGATTATCAATTACATCCAATCATTACAACGTCAGGTTGAGGTATGAATTCTTATTTCTTATATTGGATTCAGTGCAGAAACAAGTTGTAGATTTTTTGTTCTCCTTTGATTTCTGTTGACATTAATATTAAGTCGACTAGTTACTGGAAATTGCAGTTTCTATCAATGAAGCTGGAAGCAGTGAATACGAGAATCAACCCTGGAATTGAAGTCTTTGCATCTAAAGATGTAGGTCCCAACACTTTGTCCCGGTGTTGTGTATAGTTAAGCATAATTGGATTTTAGTGTGCTCAGCATTTTTCATGTTTGTTTTATGTTCAATTGTTACAATTGGTGGGTAATTCAAGATTTAACTGCCTTTTGTGGGCAGCATATCATAAACCTTAAGGTGTTCATCAAACTTGTCTGATTGACGGGTGATCAATCATTACTAAGAGGAAGAGGGCGTCCAAAGGTCCCCCGGTTTTACTTTACCATATAGGTGAGATGGTTGGCAGTTCAAACAAAGCAGAGATGTGTTATCGCAGTAGGTTATTTGAGGATAGTTAACCCAGCTCCGCTTCTTTTAGATTTCTCCCTCCATATTTCCTTTGATTTTTTTTTTGTTAGGTTTATTAATTATATTTGTAGGAAATAAAGCTTCTTCACTCACCAAATTTTGCATGATGCGCTTGGTTATTCAATCTTGCTTTTGCTTTTGCTGTTGCCTGTTTCTGCTTAGGAATCACTATAGCACAAAATTAAATTCTCTTGTAGATGAACCTCGCAAGTGGTAGACACGCTTAAAATGGCAGGTTGCCTTTTGTGAGTTAACCTCCTCTTTATGATCATTTAATGGTGATTATTTCTAGATAAGGGAAAAGAGTCAAGAGCCTGATATAGGTCTGAGCTTATAAATAAAAAGTGAGCAAAGATGTTGCGATCTCCTTTGTATTGTGAAAGCATAAATCTCACCACAAATCAGTTTTTATTGCAGTTTGGACAAACTTTTGACACTGCTGGCATGGCATTTGGTTCTCAAGCCACGAGGGAATACAGTCGTGGTACATCACCAGAATGGTTGCATATGCAGGTTGGTGGTGGTTTTGAAAGAACGTCATAATTTAGAAAATCCTCATCAATTACCAATAAGAACTTTAAGTGGCAAATGCTTCATCCTTCACTGGCTGTCAAAATATATACATATATACACTCCACTCGGTTAAAACGAAGACCAGATTTCCAATTCAACTTCAGGCTGCTCTAAGTTACTATCTGAAGTCTGAACATCTCCATTTGTTTGTGTTGGAAAATGATTCTTTTACTCCAACATCTCTTAGCAGGCATCGTGTTCATGTCTGAGCTAATACGTGAACAGACAGAACCTCCTAAAATGAGTATTAATCTTGTAACAGAAAGTTATTTGTCCTATCTCTTCGTTACCTGCTATGATTATAAAAAATTAACAATAAAAAAAACCCTTCTGGTTAATTGTACCAGTTGGATGAACCATGGTTTGATGTTTGTTCCGTTGATAGCAATTCGAGCTTGGCATTAGTTTATCATCTAGCTCAAACCAACCAAGCCTGGGCATCAATTTTTAGCTTAATGTTAAACTTAAGTCAGCTAGAGTTCACTTATTTATAATTATTATCTACCTGTTGCTGTTTTGTACCCAATTTCACTCAGCTGGCCAGTGATGATTCGGCCTTACGCAACTCTGACTGTAAGATCCAACCAACAATATTGTTTACAAATAACCAGGCAATATCCTTGGTATAAACTCACCTCACAAGCAAGGTAAATATCGAAGCCAGGTAGAGCTAGCAAGTGCAAACCACCTGTACTAAACAGTTACCATCACTAAGATATTCGCTCGTTTCTCCGAGATAATATCGACCACAGAAACCACGCTACCTAGTAAAATACTCTAGGTTCACATGTCTGTTGATAGGTTGGTTCCTCCCTCGAGAGACACATTTCTCCCGCAGAAACATGGGAAATATGATATTTGATTGTGCTTATATTATCTTCTATATTGTTCCTAACAGAAAGTGTAGTTAAATAGGAGATCTCTTCATTCCCAAACAGATTGAAGAACACCTTCTCAAAAAAGAAAAAAGAAAAAAAGGATACAAGGGGGAGTGGTAATCTTAAGATGACTCCTATGTATATTCTTGCACCCCTCCTGCACATATCATGCATGTTCCGGGTCCTGGTGCATTTTTAACACTGAAGGCATCTAAAGCCACTCAAGATTGGCAACGGTAAAGGGATACCTCAAGAAGTGCATTAACAATAGAAAGTGCATCCAGTAGCAGGATCCCATCGACGGCAAAAGACACCTGAATGCCCAGAATAGGAGAAATTAGAAAAACAGAAGAAAAAAGAGTAATCGACGGCAAGACACCTGAATTCCCAGACATCTTTTTCTCGCAGAACAGGATCTGTTAACTACATAAAAAAAGTGGCGTCACCAATTAACACTGCCAAGTTCGATAAATGTTGTTATGACCTTTACCATTGCAGCCAAGCTCAAGTAATGGTTAGACTGGACAGGAGAGAAAGTTAGAAAGGAAAACCAAATTTACCAATTGGGGTCATATTACAGCAGCAGGTAACATAGAGCGAGAAGCTTTCTTGGCTTTCTTAGATAGCTTCTTGAACATGCTTTGCAAGAACTTGATAAGCAAATCATTACTGCTCTCTGTCTCATCCTCATCACTCATTTCCTCTTCCCCGTCCATCATGTCATGATTATCATCAAAGAAAACCTCATTAAACTCCTCGGGCACTTCACCATCCAGCTTGAGAAGATAAGAATATTAATTGAGGACATGTTAGATAATAATTGATAAACGGTGAAACTGAGAGAGGCCTTCACCTTGCCATGACAAATGATGATTATTTGTGGGGATTTTGTAAGGAAGAGAGAGGCGACGGGGGTAGAAGGATTGGAGAGGGAATGAGAGCTTTGAAGCGTGTGAGAGTGTTGAGGGGTGGAGGAGCTTGGTAGTTGGTTTGAAAATGAGACTAGAAGTAGAACCTTGTGATAAGGTTTCTGCTGTTGCCATTTTTCGAGTTTGAGAGTGGTAGGTGGTAGCTTCGGATTACTAGGAGCCTGAATTGGCATGTTCTTCGGAGCATGAAAAAAAGGAGAAAAAAGGATAACTACAAATTCATCCTCAACTTATTGGGAGATTCACAAATCAGTCCCTGCTTTTCTTTTCTTTTTTCCTTGAAAGCCTAACTTCTCATTGTAATGACTTTTTAGGGATGTGTGTGATAAGAATTGTTTTTTAAAGTGTTTTTTTATTTATAAATATATTTATTTATTTTTAAAAAATTATTTTTAATATTAGCATATTAAAATAATTTAAAAATATAAAAAATAATTTAAAAAATATGAAACACATATTACTCCGTATCCCTAAACAATCTTTTACTCCCTACCATTAAAAACCTACATGGATTGACTTGACAAACTCTATATAAATGTTTTTGACTAGGATGAGAAAAGAAGAAACTAATTTAAGGTTTTCATAAATCCAAAGTTTTAAAATTCAACTAATTATTTGACACTTTTATTATATTTTGTTTGAAAATTCATGATATATTTATTAAGTACATATCTAGTATTAAAATGGTGGCTTTGCAAACTCCTCATTTATACTCTATTTTTGGTTAATTTTTTTATTTGAAAGTTAAAACTTTTTTTTTAATCAGAAATCAGATTATATGTATTATCAAAAATTGATAAGTTAAATCCAATTATTAACTTGATTTGAAATTTACTGTGTCCATTAAGTTTTTTTGTAACAACAAGTGTTTTTTACATAAAATGTGGACAATCACTTTGTCATGGGTCATATATTTATTTTTTAAATAAAAAAATTATATACACAAGCTTTTTTAATATGTTTTTGAAGTTGAAATTTTTTTAAATAAAAATAAAAAAATTATGTATACATATAATCAAATTAATTGAGAATTATATATGTTAATAAATAAATAAATATAAACAATAACTAAAAATAAAAATGAAAACAATTGTACGTGACATATGTACATCAAGATAGTTAATTTCACAATTTAAAATATTTATCCAGTTTTGTTTGCTAAATTTATTTATTAAAATAATTTTTTTATTTAAGAAAATGATAATAAGAATATAAACATAAATTAAATTGATTGAATAAAATAAAAGAGAAAAAAAGAAATCATACATGACTACACATATCAAAAATATTATCCAAAAATAAATTATTTTTCTTATACAAAGTAAAGTTCATCTATACAAAAAATTTTAAAAAAATTATAGATGTGTAACAAAAACTCTTCCAAATTTAAATGTACAACAAAAAAAAAATCATCATTTTCAAAAGGTTTTTTTAAACGAAATGAAATAGAGAAGGTGTATTAATCTAAATATAAATAAAAAAAGAATTAGAGAAAAAAAACCACATCAATTTTTTACTTAAAAGTTAAAACCTTGTTTTTTTTAATCAGATTATATGTATTATCAAAAATTGATAAGTTAAATCCAATTATTAACTTGATTTGAAATTTACTGTGTCCATTAAGTTTTTTTGTAACAACAAGTGTTTTTTACATAAAATGTGGACAATCACTTTGTCATGGGTCATATATTTATTTTTTAAATAAAAAAAATTATATAAACAAGCTTTTTTAACATGTTTTTGTAGTTATTGTTTTTTAAATATAATCAAATTAATTGAGAATTATATGTGTTAATAAATGAACATAAACATTAACTAAAAATGAAAATGAAAAAAATTATATACAACATATGTACACCAAGATAGTTAGTTTCACAAATTGAAATATTAATCCAGTTTTGTTTGCTAAATTTATTTATTAAAATAATTTATTTATTCAAACAAATGATAATAAGAATAGAAACATAAATTAAATTGATTGAATAAAATAAAAGGACAAAAAAAAATAATTATACAAGGCTGCACATATTAAAAATATTATCCAAAAATAAATTATTTTTCTTATAAAAAGTAAAGTTCATGTATACAAAAGATTAAAAAAAAAATTATAGATGTATAACAAAAACTCTTCAAAATTTAAATATATAACAAAAAAATCATAATTTAAAAAAGGTTTTCTAAACAAAATGAAAAGGAGAAGGTATATTAATCTACATATAAATAAAAAAATAATAAGAGAAAAAATCATATAAAATAGTATTAATTTTAAAAAATAATTAAAAAAAAAAGAAGCAAAGATCATGTACTACTAGGCATAACTAGCCTATCATTGAGCCTATTTTTTTAATTGCAACTGGGATGGATGAGATGTCATCCACCCTAACTTTTTTCAAAAAAAAAATTTAGACAAGTTGTTTGCTGAGCTAGACGATGTATTATTTGATTTGCTCAAATTCTAGTCGCTGAGAAATTTGGGCTTGTGTTTTTTTTACTCAAAAACTTAACTCAAAACACCTTACAAACAGTGATAAATATGTTCCTAACCTTAAAAAAACCAATAAACCATCCAAAAAACTAAAATTAACCCGAAATCAAAAATGAAATTGAGCTTAGATCTTCTTATTTTTTTTCACGAACTGTAAGGTAAAAAAACACATAATATGAACTTCTCTCATCAAATAGAACTATTTGACACAAATATTATTTTGGCGGCCTAAATTGATGCCAACGATATTTTCTCTCTACACCACCGAAACCTGAAGACCTCTCTTTTTCCTCTTTTAAACAGAAACTAAGAAATAATAAAAATAAATTTTTTATACCAAAAATAAATTTGAAAAAAATTAAGGAGCCAAAATCTTATAATTTGTGTTATTTTTAAAGTTAAAATATCAAAATATATCTTTCTCAAAACTTCTAACACACCACCTATATTTGATGCCTTTTTAATTTTGGTTCTTATTCTTCAAATTTCACCATTGACTAAAAAAATCCAAATCAATTAACTTTCAATCAGGATCAAATTGCCTAAAATAAAACTTTAAGAACTAAAATAATTTTTAAAAAATAAACAAGGCAATTCATAGTGTTTTGTGTAGGGGTGAATAGTAGTTATATAGTGTTCACCCCACATGTTTTAGGTTTTAAGTAATGAGACCATATTTGTTTAATAACCTTACTTACATTTACGAGAATTGATATATGTTGTACAATAAAGTCTAAAATTTAATTCTAACCCATTATTATTTCCTTTTTTTAAGTTAATCCTTGTCTTTCAGCATTCTAAATATATTTGGTAATAGATAAAAACTGAATCAATATATATACATCTCAATATAGTTTTATCGTACGATTACATTACTTGATTGCATTTATAATGCTACTAGATTTTTCATTCTATAATTTATTTTCATGAACATTGTTTATGTAATATTTGATCATATTTTTATATCAAACTAATTATATGGTTTAATAAGTTTAATGAAGTTTCAATAGGGTCTCCCCTTATAGAGAGCTATGTCTAAAATTTATCCTTTTATATCCTATATAAAACATATTTTAAAAATTACCATATAAACACTTCAAACATAACTTTAGTTCATTTATCTAACTAAATGTATCCTTCATTTCATAATTCATAACCATTATATAACACTTTCATATATTAATTCCTTACAGCACACACATATTAAAAGAATAGTTAATAAGTACATGTTAAGCTAAATTACAACATTTATTACATAACAAAATTGAATGATCAAATATATATGACTATAGAGTTTACTAAAGATAATTAATATATACCTAACAAAAGCTATATAATAGTAACAATTAAGTGAATATTGTTCTGAAATATGTGATGGCCCTGCATGAAATATAATAATTTAAAGATATTAGTTAGTCATAAGACATTTATGTATATTTTTCCTCAAAATAAAAATTTAAACTTTTTTTAATAACCTTTATCAAAATTTCCATCATGAATAACTCTAGTTAATCGACAATTTATAATTTCATGTAATATTATTACTTGTTTCATCCATAATTGTAAAATAAGTCACCCCATATGATTCTCCTTAAAATAAACTTATACAATACTCTTAAATTAATCGAATAACAATTTATACCATGAAATCACAATTATTTAATTACCATTCTTATATATCTATATCCAAAATCTCTAAATCATGATTAATTTATATAATTCAAATCTCTTAGTTGTCATTCTAGACTAACTAAGTTTATAGTCTCTAATTCATGGATCGATTATATAATTCAAATCTTTTAGTTGTTATTCTTAATTAACTAAGTCCATAATCTTCAATTCATGAACCAACTATCTAATTCAAATCTCTTAGTTGCCATTCTAGGCTAACTAAGTTCATAGTCCCTAATTCATGAGATGATTATGTAATTCAAATCCTAATACCTAATTATTTCAAATGTAACATATGTACCCTTCCCAAAGGTTAATTTATTTATATTCTCATTCAATTATATTATACCTTTTTTCATTTACATTCTTAACTTTATTTTTTCTCTCGGCCTAACCACATGCATTAACATAATACAACAACCAAAAAGAAAAAAATATTAATAAAAGATTCATGAAAGAAAAAGTTAAGATGTTAGGCATTTATCTGCTCCTTTTATAAACCTCGCTCCTCTATCTGAAAATCCAACTCCTAATACCTCTCCTAATGTTTTAAAGGAGGGATTCATATTAGTATTTTCAACAACTCACCACATGAATCAATATTTGTGTCAATACAATTCTATATTATCAAACCTTACCAATTTCTAAGTTACTCATTTCCTTCAAATATTTTACATAATTACATTTAAATCCTTGTTGATTTGTAATTTAATTATACTAGTGACATGATCAAAGAGTTGATGTCTTATCTCAAGTGTAGGAGTTTCAAAGTAATAAATAACCCGGTAAGACTAAGGTCGAACAATAGGAAAGTTAACTATGAAATCCATATTGAGTTTATATTATACTTATCCTAACACCATTAGTGAAACCTTTTTACCTTGACATAATTAACTTAGCTAGACATCATGAAGGAGAAAAACTTAAAGAAACAATATAAGAACATAAACATGATATAAGTTAACTAAGTATAGTAAAGGAAATG